ATATATCTCACCTAGAGTTTTATGTTTTTAATTATTTTACATTTTTTGCATCAAATGATGGCACAATCCTCCCCTTCCATATGGGATAGCCTTGTTTTTCCTTTGATTTTTCTTCACTTACATCATAATTTAAATTTAAGATTTTTTATTTTAAATTTTAAATTCTTAATTACTTGACACATTCTTTAAACACAAAATTAATTGTTGTAGACAATAACTTTAGTATGTAAACAAATTAATCCTCTTTTGCAGTGTATATGACACCTAAATAAATATAGTTATGACTATTCATTAAATTATTAAAGTCACAATATTATCTAAAAAATATTGATTTTATTTAATATAATTATTAACCACAACTAATAATTAATAAAACAATTAATTACACTATTTAATATATTAAAATTAATTTATAAATTAATTTTTTAAATATCATAATTAATTATTTAAAAAATCATAAATATTAGTTAAATTAAACACAATTTATTTATTCTTAACAAAGTATTAAATGGTCATATATAACTACACCTACGCAAGTATGTCCTTTTCCTTCTAGAATAGCAATAAAGGATGAGGATAACAACTTTGTTCACATAGCAAAATAGCAATAAGGGCAACAACTTTGTTCTCGTCTAGCGGATAATATGCTTATGGTCGATATACTAACAAATTTGGAATCTTGACTGACTTATTAAAGGCTTGTCGACAAGGACTTAATTAGTCACTGTGATTAATAATTTTAATTTTGATGGTGTACTCATGTTATTAAAGGGGGGAAAAAAAGGTGAAATTAACCTTTAAGACATTTGACGTTTGGAGTCTAAGTCTTGTTAAAGGTAAGTTTAATTTAATTTTACAAATACCGTACTAGCTAGGTTGTATTATACTATAATGATAAGATATTATTATTATTATTATTATAAATATTTTATATTAATTTAATTAAAAATGTATAAAAATTAAGAATTTATATTTTTAAATAAAATACTATGCAAAAAGTAGAATCTAAGCTAAGGTATAAAATCTAAGCGTTCGTCGACAATTGAACAAGAGAATCCAACTGAGAAGATTCAGGACGAGACTTCAATAATTAATGGACCCATCAATGAGATAAAGAAAATGAGGCCTAAAGAAACTGATCGTGCCCATCCGGGCATCGTGCGGTGATGGGGATGCTAAAGCGTGTGCAGGCGTCATACTCGACACGTTGATTACAAAGAAGGATGATTTCACGTGTGAATGCCTGTTTTGACGAATGTTTCTGATTATTATCATAAAAAGAGTTTACTTAATTTATATTTTAAA